CCTGAGTGATGGGGCAACTTTTGTGATTATTAGGCTCCTTCTATTACAGCTGAATTTATGCTTAAAGGTGGGGTCCCTAGATAGCCTCAGATTAGGCTGGTCACTAGCAACACCTACCTAGTGACTATAGGGATGGAAATTTTAGCTGCACCACTGACCTCCAAGGAGAGGATAGGGTTCTAAAAACCCTTGAGCAGTAAGATTCAGAGAGCTTCTGGGCTGGTAAACATATCAAGAGGCTGGGAGCATCACAGGGAGCATGGAAGCTCCATGCCCTCCCACCCTTACACATCTTGCCTATCATTCTGGTAAAGTATAGAACCTGAAGCGGTTTGTAGGAACCCCAGAGTCTTTAGCCCATTGGTCACAATTACAGGTGGACTAGGGTCTGAAGTGGCATAGTCTTAAGCCTTTAAGTATGGGATTGTGCCAGCTCTGGGTAGAATCAGAATTGAATGGAATTGCTGGACATCCAATTTGATGTTGGAAAATTGGTTGTTAGTATGAAACAGTCCTCTCTCACATCTGGCATCAGAGAACATCACACACACACACACACACACACACACACACAGAAAACAAAAAAAAGAGAGAGAGAAACCATTACTAACCAGGGAATGTTCTAGAAATTTTCTTGTATATCAGTTAGTATGCAATTCTTACTTAACTACTATCAGGAATTCTTGAGTGAACTATGCATCTTCTAAAAAATTCTATTGTGACCTCACTGAAAAGTCACAAATACGAAGGTATTGTAGGTGTGACCTGTCAACAAATACATTACTTCCTATGGTTAGATCCTGAAAGCTCCAAAGGTATCTGACTTAAGAACTGATTCCCCTACCCTTGCAGGCAAAGGAGAAAGAAGGAAGAGGGAAAAGAAACAGGACTGTCCTTTCCCATTTTTCAGGAGCCAGGCCAGAACAATAAGTGATTTCCAACAGGTAGCATTTGTTTTTCGCATGTTCCTTTTCTGTACCCCTCTGAACCTTCCTGTGCCTCTCTTCCTTGGCTTCTTTCTCTGCTCAGAACTCTAACTAAAAGACTCCATCCTCTCAGCCCATCTGGAATTACCTATTGCCCCTCCCCTCTTGTTCCGACCCAAATAAAAAGTCCTTCCTTCAACGTGTTTGCTGAGTCTCAAACTGCATTGTATTTAATAAACGACTGGGAATTTAAAAAATGCCTAGAGCTTATCCTCAGATACAGTATTCCGTTGCTCTGAGTAAGTCTTTATTTTGATTCTTTTGTCTAGGTGACTAATATGCTCTCATCAGAGCTGAGGACCACTTGTAAAGCTGATGTTGACCAGATGCTAAATGTCTGTGACTGAATTTATTCCCTTCAAGCTGTGGACAACTGATGAATATTTATTACCATATGTTGGTAGAATTTAGAGTAGCAGTTTAATGGGATATGAAAAAGTTTAAGCAACAAGTTTTAGATTTGGGGAACAGGCCAATCCTCTTCTGGAATCTGCAATAAATATACCTGAACTGTTGGGACTTTTGGAAGCTTCTTTCTTTCTCCCATGTTTGAATTCACAACCTTTAGGAAGTTCATTTCTTCTGCCCAGCCTCTCCCACAGCCCTCACCTCCATGACTCTCACTGGACTCAGCTGATAAGGGATGTAAATAAGGATAGGACTGTACATAAAGGGATAGGACTGACATTATTTCCCTCAGCACCATTCAAAACTAAGGTCTATAATCTTCATTCTCTTCTTCAAGAGGATACACTGTGAGTCAAGACTGCAGAATCTATAGGTGCTATCGTTGACAGTTGGTTCCCTTGTTCCCCTCTGTCTTCTCTCACAAAGCAATCTTGAGAGTGAACTGGGAATTTGCTACTGAAGTCTCCTCGGAATGAGCACTGGGATGCATGGCCCTGGTGTGGTGTCACCAGGGCCTTCTGCCCTGCCTCTGGTAGCTTTCCTCCTCAGGCAAATGAATTCTGGTTCCATTTTTAGGACTAATGCAGAAATCATGAGACTTAAGCAAAAACTCAATGCAATCCTTGAGTAGTGCCTGCTGCATTTAGAAGTTTCAGGAAAGTGCAGAAAGGCAGTGGCATTGGACTTGGCACACTGGACTGTGTCAGATACAGATTCAAAACCTGCCCATGGGGGCTGGGGATTTAGCTCAGTGGTGCTGCCACCTGCCTCACAAGGGCAACATCCCAAGTTCGATCCCTGGTACCAAAATTCTGATAAAGAACTTCCTGAATGAGAAAGGGCCGGGGATTTAGCTCAGTGGTTCTGCCTCCTGCCTCACAAGTGCAAGGACCTGAGTTCAATCCCCAGTACCAAAAACAAAAAAAAAGGCAAAACTTGCCCATGGGAGTGCAGAAGTCTCTCTGGGGGAGAATTCATCCTCAAGAGAATTCTGTCCTCTATCTTTATATTCAATGTGTTACACCTAGCAGTTACAAGAGTTACCTTTACTGGGTGTGTTATCAGCTTTTTATTTTTTTTAATTGGCTTTCCATTTTCCTGAGAGACAGAAAGGTCAACCAATGTAGCTTGTTCATACTGGGAACCACCATATCTTGAAATTACTTAGAAACTCATCCTTTTATGGAGAAACACACACACAGACTAGCTTATAGCATTTCTGGGGTACTATCTTGACAGCCCCAAGTGAAAACTCTGGAGAAACATCTATTAACGCAACTCTCTAAGTTATGACCAACATGTGTTGCTCAAACGAGAGAAGATGGAAGGAGGTGTCATTTATATGGGATAAGGTTATACTCTTTCAGCAGCAATTTTCACTCCCTGTATCTCTGAAAACTCATCTATCTTCATGCTAAAATCTTGCCACTGAGACCGGAATTGACCTGAAGATCAGCGAAAGTCAGACTTGTTCTTTTCACCCATTCACTGGGAAGGAGAGGCCTAGAATCACATTACTGAGTGCAGGGACTGAGATGAGTAAGGCTAGGGAAGGGGGCTTTGCAGTTAAAAAGTTAAGGAATGAAAAAAAAAGTTGAAAAAAAGTTAAGGAATGAGAAGCTCCTTTTAATATGCTGGTCTGTATCAATTGGAGAAATGTTCTTTTCGTTTCAGCAGTATTGAGGATTGAACCAAGTGCCTCATGCATGCTATGCAAGTATTTCCCCATTGAGATAAACCCCCAATCCTCTCTGTATTTATTCTGAGACAAGGTCTCACTAATTTTCCCAGGGTGGCCTAGAATTTGTGATCCTCCTGCCTCAGAGTGACTGAGATTATAATAGGTATGTACCACTGTGCTCAGCTGGGAGGAATGTTTTCTTAGAGAGATCAGGGAAATCACCTACAAGGAGGCGTGTGTGTGTGTGTGTGTGTGTGTGTGTGTGTGTGTGTGTGTGCATATTATGCACATATACAAGATAAACAGCCCAGTCATATGAAGAACAGTAGCTCCATCACTGAATGGATGGTGATACCTCTTTGTAGAAGAACAAAAAATATTCAAAGTAAGTTCGCCCTCAGCAAGTGCTCCAGGGGCTTCCCTTCATGAAAAAAATCAGGGTCACTCTCAATTCAAGTCTAAGTAGGATGTGGTGAATGGGGGAGCCACACAGGGATTGCACATGTGGCAGCCTTGGCAACGAAGTCACCAGAAGGCTGTGACTGACAGTGCCTGCGGAGGACGATATCAATAAAAAGCAGGTTGGAGGGGGTGATGGTGGCTTCAAGAAATGAGATTCAATATCCATGAAAACAACAACAAGAAGAAAGGACAAGGCTTTTCCAGAAGGGAGTCCATGGGATCAGGGCGGCCACCACCTCTCCCTCCCTAGTGGTACTCTTCCATCCAGGGTTAGCACTGCTGTCACGATCTCTGCTTCTCGGGCACTTTCCCCCCATACTGCCTGGCCTCACTCAGAAAAACCAACATGCAGTTACTCCTGGCTACTTCTGAGTGGGTGGCCAGGGGCAGCTCTGGGTCACACACAGGTGTGGCTGGCATGGAGCACTGTTACTACTGCCTTCCACAGAGGCCTGCTTTGCTCAGAGCTGGGAAGTGGCCATTGCTGACCTATTTCAATGGCCAAAGAAGTCGCAAAACTAACAGGGGATAGAAAAACATTTTTGAAGAGAATAGAAAAGCAGGGGAAAGCTGAGTTTGAAATTCATGTACCCTGTCCTGCACAGCCAAGGGCCTGTGGTCCCTGGGGAAGGTTAGCCTATGTTCAAATATATCAGGGGCTACCTGCCAAAGATGGCCAGGATAGCTCACATTCTTTCATTCATGGATGAGGCCATATGTGTATAAGTGGGATGTTCCCACGCCCACACTGGAGGGAGAAGAAACTCACTGGAAAAGAGAAGAATAGCAGACCAATGGGAAGAGGTCATGTTTATTTTACTTTTGCTAATTGATTCCTAAAGAAATAGAGTAACAAAGTGGGACTGAGAATATGGCCAATACCCAATCCTTGATCTAGAAAAAGCCTGTCTTCCTAGCACATCCCCAGATCAGGTTCCTCCTTTTATTGGTAAGGTCTCTTCTGGCTCTGACTGAACTACACCATGCCATGGTTTGCAGGTTGAGGCATTTCAACATGAACCCTCGTATTTCTGAGTCAACCAGTTATACTTTGGTTCATAGAGTATTTCATGGCAGGGAACATACAGTGGCAAGAAGCCACACAACATCTGCATCTTACAGACAGCACCATATGTTATCAGAGGTGCCTAGATGTGGGGGGCACTTGTCACAGCCAGCAACACAGATTGATGTATGTGTCGCCATCTGCGAATACCAGAGTCACGGCCTCATTAGTCCTGCTGCTAGTTGTTGTTGTGATGCTGTCTTTAGGTCAACAGACACATACAAATTACAGCTCCCTACAAGGTTCCAGCAGCCCACCATTGTGCAGAGTGAGACACTTCATGCATCCAGGCAGGTTTTCTCTGGCTTATTGCAGAAGACATAATTGCTTTTGTTACACATCCATGGAATCAGGAAAATACATTTTTTATGGTCCTCATTTTCAATGCCCTACTTACCAACTTCATCCCTGATGTTTGCAAGTTCGATTGACAGCTCTTTTTCTTTCACAAGGGCACTTTCATTCTGAAAAAACAAAACGGATACCAAGAGTCCCCTAGTTTTATGCTAGAAAAGTACTTTCATATGTTTAATAAATGAATCATATTAAGCAAATATTTATAAGTCTAGCCCTGAAGGAGATAATTTTTCTCATATAAGCATATAAAAACAAGCCAAGTCTGACTCACTCATTTGTATTCATTCAAATGTCAAACTTTGCAAAATAACATTAAAAATACCCATAGCTGTGCTTTTCTCTATGAGCGTATCACACTGTTGTAGATCATCCTACAATAATTCTTTGCATATAGGTGTCCTACACATCAATGTATTATCTCATATTACTATACACTTTCTTTCCACTTTTTGAACATGTTACTTTTCTCTGAGGGACAAAGGTTGTTTTACCACTTTCCCCTTAAACTTACCCTTTTGTCCATACCTGGTTAGCTACTTAATGAATAGCAAAGATCAGAGCTGAACCTCTAACATGAAACTTTTATTTTTGTAACAAGACCAACCACAGCAGTTAAGGCTTCCAAGTTATTTTCTTCTACTATGCCATCCATAGAAAGGAGAAGAGGAAACTGTATATCTGAAGAATTACTTAGAGCAAAGTATTTAATTTGTCACTTAATATGTCTAAGGTGTTTTCAAATCAAATATATTCTGTGACATTAAAAAAATGAAATGGAAGATGTGCTGAATTTGTGACCTGAGTTACAAAAACTCAACAGTTTATTAAGATACCATAAATAGTTTATTATGATTTTATTACTAAATAATACTACTAATAATGATGAAATACTAACAACAGTAAGTCACAGATATTAGCCTTTCAAAGAAAGTCTCTATTATTCAATAAAATATACTCCCAAAGCAAGGCAAACAAATTTTGAGAGACAGAATATTTGGCTCAAATGTAGATGATAACCCTAGCACAGATACCATCAGAGCCTTGCGAATGTTTATTATAGTAGGCACATTTAATGTCCCCAAAAGGTCTGTGTGTTAAAGGCTTGATTCCCAAGGTGGTGCTCTTAGGAGGTGCTGTGGATTCTTGAAAAGGAGGGACCTACTGGGAAGTCCTTAGGTTATTGGAGGCATATTTTCCAAGGGGACTGTGGAACTCCAGCATCTCCCTCCTTCCTTTTGCTTCCCAGCCATGAAGTGAGAAGTTCACTCTTCGGGTTATTCCCCATCTTTGTCATCTGGCATACCCACCTTTGTTCCAAAGCAGTGGGTCCACCTGATCTTAGATTAGAACTTCCAAAACTATGAGCCAAAATAAACCTTTTCTGTTTATAAGTTAATTATCTCAGGTATGTCATTACTGTTAGGGGAAACAGAATAATACAATGTTCTTTATTGACCATCTTTGGCTTTAGTTTCAGCATCCTAGATGCACCTGTGGTCAAAGAACTACAGGTAGCACTCACACTCTAGTTTCTGGGACTGGCTCAATTAGACTCAGGTAACAAGGGTGTTATTTTGGGTTCCAGGTTGAGTCTCAGGTTATCCAAAAGGTCTATGCTCAGCAATGTCATAATATCAGTAATTCCAAAAATAAAACTCAATTTTCATAATAAACAGAGCTATTGTAGTCATGGTTTCCAACAAGTATTAGCTAATGATTCTCTGAAGAAAAAAAAAAAAGGAGCAACAGATCTATCCTTTGAGGGACAATGGGCCTTACAATGGTCTGGATGTTTGTATCCCCCCAAATTCATATGTTGTAATCTTAACTCACTCATAAAGGTGCAGCTATGAGGAAGTGGGCCTTTGGGGTGACCAGGTCATGAAGGTAGGCCTTCATGAATGGGATGAGTGGCCTTATAAAAGAAGCCCCAGAAAATAGCCTAGCCCCTTCAATATGAGAGGACACAGCAAGAAGGCACTGGCATTGAGAGAGTGAGCTCTCACCAGACACCAAATTTGCTGAAGCCTCATTTGTGAAGCTCTCCCCTAGAGTTCAGGGTTAGCAATTACACTCAGGAATATGTTTTCCTTATGATTAAATAATGCTACCTCAATGCCAAGCCCACTGTACAGGGCTATCATAGTTTCTGGGTTTTATTTCCCTTTACTGGGGAGGAAACTGGAGCTTTATGGTAAAGTAACCAGTCCCTGCACAACCTTCCAGGAAATGGTAAAGATGGCAGTTATAACCTAGTACCTACATTCTTCATCACACACTAACACACCAAGAATCTCCCCTCTTCAGTTTAGATAGACGTAAACTCAAGATCCAAATTGTACCGTTCCTTAGGCTGGATTGAGCACTTCTTACCATGCAGCTTTTCACATCTGGCTGGAAGAAAGGTAGAGTCAGCCCTGTACTAACTCTGGCTCCCTGGTAAATTTCCTGGCTGTGCTCACTCTGCCTCACAGCCTGTTCTCCCTAAATTACCCTGGGTCTTGATTTGTAAGTTGAATGCTTACAAATATACTTCCAGTGATTGGACCCTTTTCAATACAGTCTTCACAGTTGGAAATTTTAGATAGTGTTATCTGTTTACTTTTCTCTGAAAGCCCTGGAAGGGCCATTCTGATGGCCCCAGAACACATTCCAGCTGAAGATGCTTCCACAGCTCCGTGCTAGCTTGCCAAGGACAGCCAGCCTATGCAATTTGGTGACAACCCTTCTTCCTTAAGTGCTTCTTTTGAAATGATATCAACCCTTCTTATTTATAAATTCTCTGCATCAAGTAAAGTTCCTTTTTGTTTCCTGCCAGCCAAATCAGTATGACGTAGTGCTACCCTATAATGGGATGAGTCAACAGCAATGACTGCAGAACCAGGGCTCCTAAGACAGGAGGTGACCTTCAAGGAAACTTCCATTTGCTACTCCTGGCCAAAATGCTATCTCTCATCTCTCATGGCACAACAGAAGTCAATGATGGTCTTGATCTTGTGACACCCTGAGATTGTGGGAACACCCAAGATGCCTTCTAAAAGGACCTCAAGTCCCAAAAACTCCACCAAAAGACCTCTAGATTTGATAACCAAATTCAATAGCATAGCTAGATACAAAGTCAACACACAAAATCATCAGCCATTCTTTACACGAAGAACAAACTCACTGACAAAGAAATTAAGGAAACAATATATTTCACAGTAGCATCCAAAGAAATGAAATACCTAAGAATCAATCTAACAAAAGAAGTAAGACCTTTACATTGAAAACTACTGTACTCTGAAAAAGGAGATCAAAGAGGGTATCAGAAAATGGAAAGACATCCTCTGTTCTTGAATAGGAAGAACCAACATAGTAAAAATGGACATCTTCCAAAATTGTTATGCAGATTTAATGCAATACCAATTAAAATTCCAACAGCATACCTCACAGAATTAGAAAAAAACATCCTAAAATTTATTTGGAACCAGAAAAGACCTAGAATAACACAAGCAATTCTGGGCAACAAAGGCAAGGCAGGGGGATATCATAATCTCTGACTTGAAATTACACTACAAAGCTATTATGATAAAAAAAATAGCATGGTACTGGTAAAAGAAGATCAGTGAAACAGATTAGAAGATGCAGAAATAACTGCAGGCATACTCATCCACTTTATCTTTGCCAAAAAATCCAAACACCTTCACTGGAAAAAGATAGCCTATTTAATAAATGGTGCTAGAAAAACTGGCTTTCCATATGCTGAAGATTAAAACTAGACACATATTTTTCAGCATGCATTAATCTAAAACTGAAATGAATTAAAGATCTAAATATTAAAATGGAAACACTAAAGCTGCTGGAAAAGAGAGTAGGTAGAACACTTAAGAAAATAGGAGAAGGCAAAGACTTCATGAACAAAACCCAGATCCCACAGGAAATACTACAAAGAATCAACAACTAAGATCTCATCTTATTAAAAAGCTTTTGCACAGCAAGATAAATAACCAAAAGAATGAAAAGACAACCCACAGCATGGGATAAAATTTTACCAGCTGTTCATCAGATAAAGTACTATTATCTAGAATATATAAAGAACTCAAAAAAAATCAGCCCCTCCCAAATTTAAAGACCCAATACAAAAATGGGCATCAGAAATGAAAAGACACCTCTCAGATGAAGAAGTAGAAACAGCAAATAAATATATGAAAAAATGTTCAAAATCACTGGTCATTCATGAAATGCAAATTAAAACACTGAGATTCCATCTTATTCCAGAAAGAATGGCTGCTATCATGAAATCAACCAATAACAAATGCTGGCAGTGCTGTGGGGAAAAAGGAACCCTTCTCCATTGCTGATGGGAGAGTAGATTGGTAAAACCACTGGAAACTAGTGTGGAGATTTCTAAAAAAACTAAAACTACAGGTTCCATTTGACCTAACTATTATCCTTCTTGGTATTTTTCAAGTAAAAGCAACCGACCACAGTGATATATGTGCACCCATGTTTATAGCAGCACAAATTGTAATAGCTAAAGCTTGGAAACAGCCCAAATCCCCATCAACCAATGAATGGATAAGGAAGATGTGGTATATCTATATCTATATCTATATCTATATCTATATCTATATCTATATCTGTATTACTCTGCCATAAAGAAGGATGAGCTTCAGACATTTATAACTAAATGGATGGACCTTGAGACCATACTCCTAAGTGAAATAAATTAGACACACATGTTTAAATACTGCAGTTTCTCTGATGTGAGAAACTAAAAGTGGAAACAGGGACTAAAATGTATAACAGATATTGGGAAATGGAAAGAAAATCTTCAAATGGGCAGGGGAACAAAGGAGGAAGGAGAGAGAAAAGCAGGGAGGGCCAAGAAAAGAAGTAGAAAATAGATGAAAAAAATGCAAACAAAGCCTTTGTACATAGGGAGGAGAGGGGGCTTGGAAGGAGGGGGAAGGGAAAAAAAAAGATGTGGGATATATCATGTACAGGTGCAAATTCCCTACAATGTGTGTTTACCATTATGTGTGCCTAAAATGTACCAATAAATGTTTTGCTATGAAAAAAATAAAAAACAAGAGCCAAAGGTTTATCAAAGCAGAAAGTAAAGAAA